CTAGACCAGCAGGTGGCTCCTGAAAATCCTGATTACGTGGAAAGCAGACGGCTTGTGCACTTTTCTAAAAACGCCTTGTTTCTTTTATCAACCCACAGTACTGAGATTAATGCATGAGGGTTGCCTCACACTGTGCCAAAAACTGCACGGGTGGCTGGCTGTGCAATGAGCCATCCCTTTTCAACTCCCAGATTCAGCATGCCCACACAGAAAGATCACACAAAAGTTCACACAAGACCATGAGAAGAAAACCAATCTTCAATGCATTATGGCATTATCATATTATACAAAGACAGAGCTCAGGTAACTGGCTGTTGTGGGCCTTGTGGCTGCAGCCGCTGCGCTCATCCCCAAGTCAACACCATTAAGTACACAATTCCCTCACTCCCTTCTCTCTCTCTCTCAGAGTCTCTCTCTCTCTCTCTCTCTCTCTCTCTCTCTCTCTCTCTCTCTCTCTCTCTCTCTCTNTCTCTCTCTCTCTCTCTCTCTCTCTCTCTCTCTCTCTCTCTCTCTCTCTCTCTCTCTCTCTCTCTCTCTCTCACCTGAGCAGGAGGCGAGAACGCCGAGAAGGGTAGATGATTTGTGCATTCCATGGACACTTCGCGTTCACTGTGATATGTAATGCCTCAGGTGAAGTGTTCGACTTAGCTATTGTGCATCTCTCTCTCTCAACCCTCGTATTGCACAGTCCCGCTCCCTCAGATGTTGTATTGCTGGCTTCACTCTGTCACTCTCTCTTGCTGATAGCATCCCTGAATGCACCCACTTCTCCTCTACATCTAACCACTGCGGCTATGGCGGCCCTCGTCCTCCTCCCTACAACCCTAGCTATGGCGCCTCCATCCTCCTTTCCTCGGGCGCAGGTCTCTGCCCAAGTCGCACTGTCGCACAAGCCACCAGCAGCGCTTCCGCGACTTGCGAATTAACAACTGCCCCCGCCGTTTCACTATAGCAGCTATAAATAGGTACTCAGACTTGTTTTTGCCGCTTCGGACTGGTACCGGTTGCCCGCAGCCTGTCGGTTGCATGTTTGCCATTCCGGAAGTCTGGGGACTTTCTTGGGACGCTTCTGCAAAATTGGAGTTCGGGACTCGACTTTTCTGTGGGGTACCGGTGGACTTCTGCCTACAGTTCCGGACCCAACCAGACTACGAAGCTTTGACAGGCACCGGACTCCGAGGACCCTGGGATTGGGACCTGCCAGGTCCTAGTGGGACTGGGACCTGCCCGGAGCTAGTGGGACTGGGACCTTCCAGGACCGACCAAGAGCGATACACAGACAACAAAACCAAATTGCAACATCACACTGAAGACCAGATAGTCGTGTCCCAAGCAGAAAGCAGAATGCACTGAGATACAGGCGAAATAAGAGTAATACAATGATTCAGAACTCGAATGTCAATGTCGGCCTCTTCTCGCCACCACCCACATTGTATCCAATGTCACCCTCCTTGATTGGCGCTCAGCGCCCAGCCAACCACTGCTTCAGAACCTAAACTAGCCTACAACTACGTGAACAAGCAACCTGGAACACTTCCAGTCGAAGACCAATGCACATGCAGAAGTCGCCAATGCAGACTGCCGCATACACATCAGGTACTACGTGTCTCTTGTCTCTCTCCCCTCTTATCTCCTTCCCCCCCACAATGTGCTCCTCCTACCTGAAGACCACCATCACCATCAACAACAACAGCGAGGTCTGCCCGGCTAAGGCGACCTCGCTCGCTGCCACAAGGCAGAGCCCCTCACACTTCTATCCACCACCAGCTCCCAGGTGACCTCAAGCGCACAGTGCAGCATGCCAGCAGCGCTGTCGCCCAGTTGCTCACCGGCAGAATGATCTACTGGGCTCTGGGCACTTAGCTAAATGGAAAGTGCTCGCGAGGTCTGGGGCCCAGTAGCCTCCAGTCCGGCCAAAGTGTCTGCACCCAAACCCAGTTTCAGATACTGGCCTGGAGTCTGGACCAGTGCAGTTAGGTTTGCCAAACTGTGTGACGTGGCCCACGGTCGACCTGTCAGTGAAGACACATCCATACCTGGCTGAATCTAGCAGACTCACCAGAAGAGTCATCATTTCCTGCCAAAATGGAGCAGCCCCCTGCCCATGGAACCCCCCGCCGCTGGCCTGTCCTTCTCCCTGCCCCGCCCCCTTTCGACCCACAGTTGCTCTGATTTGGATTGGAAATCGCCTGAATCCAGACTGAAAGTTGCCCCAATTACCCCACCTATGGGTATAATGACCGTGTGTTCTATTAGGGGAAAGACAGTAGAGGGAGGACAGGGAGAGGGTAGCCACCATGGACCAGGATGAGAAAGTGACAATTGACCCTGTCCAGAACAGAAACTACACTTGATCTAGTTTTAGCCACAGGAAGCCAGGTGGGGTGGTCGATTGAAATGATTTTGACCAGATCATCCTGTCTGTCATTTTCCTGCCTGGCGTCAGCAGAAGCTGAATGATAATGGAGACCTAAATTTTCAGATAACTTGTCATGCCATTTGTAACAAAATCAAAGGGGGTCATTTTAACCAAACTTGCCACCAAGTCATAAAGTAGAGACCATAGCTACTAACTGCAAATAAAAAACAACTGAAAAAACTATAAAACAGCAAGGCAAAAGTGGACTTTCATGCAAATTTCGCGAAGTTGAACATTCAGTTTCAGAAATGTTGAGAAGTTTCAGAAATCTTAGCAAAGGAAATTCCAATGCTCCACGTAGTAACCTTTTTTTTCAAGCTGCTGCTAGTGGGATTATAATGTGCTTTTTTTTTTTTTTTTTTTTTTTTTTTTTATCTTTTTTTTTTTTTTTT